ACTGTGGTCATGTTCAGGCACTGCTGAGAACCAACTGATGGACTTCCCTGAAAGGCAGGATGCATTAGCCTGAGCTCAATGCAGTGCTAACGAGGGAAAAATCAGTGTGTGGACAGAGTACTCCAACAGCCAGTACCTGGAAAACAGTGACGCATCAGTGAGAGGCTGCGTACAACCCAGGAGTGGAAATATCCACAGAACGTTTACGGTAATCGCTGTCAGTGAAACAAACGGTCTCTCAGGGTTAAAACAAACTGTCATCTCCTGTCTTTACACAGACATTTGTGTGATCCAGACAGGAACTGCAGTACTGTTGGGTCTGTCAGGCAGCTATGTTAAAATACAAAGAATGGAGTACAAGCATTGTTTGGGCCTTGAGGAGAGTGAACAATTCTGAAGCAGACCGACAAATTATATAAATCTAGCTGTAAGATTTGCTAAAACATAAAAAAAATTTCTTAATTATACAGACAAGCTTAATACAATGTAAGACATGAGCGTCCCTACAATTTAATTTGAGCCTTATTTGTGCCATAACCAAAGACAGAATTCCAAACACAGAAGAGTTTTCTTGACTTTCCTTCCCTCCACAAAACACCAGAACAAGACAGGGCTACAGGAAGAAACAGCAGAGGGAGATAAGAAACAGAGCAGTATAAAATATAGCATAGCCACTAAATTTAAGAAATACATTTGCAATAGATATGATAAATTGAAAAAAAAAAAAAAAAAAAATATTGCACCTGTTGGGACAAAGGGGCCATACCATCTTACACCAGGCACACCAGCCTGAACACCTGAAAAATACCTTAGGAGTAAACCCATGTTGGTAAACATTATGCAAATCACTATTGTAATTTCAACAAAAATCACAGCAGAAGAAAAGAAGCTTTTAAAGCATTTTAAGTTGATTTTTTTTACCTTTGTATACAATGCTTTCCTTTTTCCTTCTCACTTTATTTAAGAAGTTTTTTTTGTTAAAGTGATCAGCTTTTGTAACTTCAGTGAGTCACTATGCAGGAAACTGATGGAATCTCTCTTGTAATCACACATCAATATTTAACATATATAAATATCATTTTCAGATGAAGAATCTGAACTTTAAAGTATCAAAGATTGGCAGAGTTTGCCTTAGACACAGGTAGCGTGTGAGTCAAAAGAAAGACTAAGGATCACCCTAAGGGGGAAAAAAGCCTGTTTAAGCTGAGATAAAGAGTTTTAATGCAAGGATGTTGTGGGCAAACAGTTCCAGATTTTGCCCAGTCACTTCTTTGACTGAGCTAACAAGTCTTTCAAGGCAGTGGTCTCCAAAGTGGGGTGCATAAGATAATCCTTTGGGCCACAGGAAGAAAATACTTTTTGTATTGTTAATAAATGAAAAAAAAAATTAAAATAGTGTTTATTTCATCTTTATCTCATCCTTTTCATTTCTATTTTTGTGTATCTTTTATAGTGTACATAATATATTAGTACAATACTACATGTATATAATTTATAAATAAATAAATATACCTATATTGAAGGGTGTGCTCAGAATTTTTTCACTGATGGAGTGCTCAGTCAAATGTGTCTCTGCTTCAAGAGACATTCAACACTTCTTTATAGGATCTTAGAGGAGGAAGAAATGGCTGCCTCTGTTTTGAATACTCCAGGATACAGTTGGAAAGAAATGAATATGTCTCATCGTTACTACAATTGACACATATCACCACCTGGAGATGCTGAAAGTGTGGTAAAAGAGCAAGCTGTTCTTAGAATATGGCAGAACAGTTCCAGTTGGGAGACTTAAAATGATGACCTAGTCCAGCTGCCTGACCGCTTCAGGGCTGATCAAAAGTTAAAGTGTATTAATAAGGGCATTGGCCAAACACCTCTTCAACACTGACAGGCTTGTGGCATTGACCACCTCTCTAGGAAGCCTGTTCCAGGGTTTGACCACCCTCTCAGTACAGGAATGTTTCCCAATATCTAGTCTGAACCTTCTCCTTGATCAGCTGTGCACTAGTTTAAATATGTTTGACTGACGATCTATCGCAGTTTCACTTTTCCAACTTGATTTGCCATCAGACACCTGCCAGCAAAGTGAGATGTCCCATCCCCAGATGGGTGGGCATATTACTAAGAAATCCAATTAAGTTGAGAGAAACTAAAAAAATGTTACTCTTTTGTGAATAATTGAATAAATTTTCAGCTTCACTATTTTCCAGATATTGCTATTAATGAGATCCATGAAATGGATCTTAACTAAATTGAAAACCGTGTCGTTCATTGTAGTTTGGATACTCAAGTGTGTGAGATAAAGTTAAGAATACTGAAAATTGCAGAACATGGAAGTTGTGCATAGCAGCAGTAAAACACTTCCAAGTTTCTCCAATCTCCTCTCTCCATATTGATTTCACGCTTTACAGCAAACTGCCTTACTAAATGTGAATATGGAAAAGTTTCTCTGTAGGTAATCTAATTTATTATACTATGTGGTCCTGCTCTGGCAGGGGAGCTGGACTAGATGATCTTTCAAGGTCCCTTCTAACCCCCAACATTCTGTGATTATGTATAGTATAATATAATATATTATATCAACAACCTCAAGGCGTTGTTGATCACTTGTGTTACCTGGTTTCTACATTAGCAACAATAACAACCTACACTGCCAAGAAAACAAGATCTCTATTCCCCACCCCACACTTTATTTTTTGGGGAGGGGGGCGAGGGAGGAGGGAGGCAGACCTAGACATAGACCCAGATTCTTCCCAAATCCATTGAGAATACACGTAAAACATTTTTTACTTGCATGCCTGTGAAATACTAATTTGGAAACATCAACAAATACTTACTCAAGAGAAGTTTGAAGTGGTAGAACTTGCTACCTTAACAACCACAACCAGTGGAATAGAAAAGCATCATTAAAAAGAAAATATAGAATGTTTATTTAGTTTCCATTATACAGTTTCCACTACACAGCAAATGATCTTAAATCAGATCTCAAACTGTTTTACAAACAGCAATGGAGTATGCAGATTTACAATCGCAAACTTGCTCATACCTGCTGGTAAAGAGCTCAAAAAGACTACAGCATACATTCACTACTTCAAAGCGCTACTAACAGGAGAGGAGTGAAACACTAAGATTTGGAACTATGTGAACAGCATTCTAAAATGGCTGGACCGTAAAAAGCAATTGGCCAAACCTCGTGCCTCATAACGGACACATTAGTGATACAACATACTCTGCTGCCAGGTTACCCTTGGTCAGAATAAATAAAAATTTAAAAAAAAGAAGGAAAAAACAAGTACGAAAGAATGATTAAAACATGTTAATTATGACTGGTGGTGACTATCAGAATCCTGCTAGGAATATTTCTTCCCTTCTCTCTCCTCAATAAGGAACTATTGAGCTTGTAACATACTTTAAGAGTTCATCTGACAGGTACTCCCAGCAGTAACAATGCAAAAATCACACCTCCCTCTCCAAATACCTAGTGTAGCCCAGGCTCCTGACTGCAGTGTCTCACAAAAAGCTATAAAAGAACACACTGCCCAGATGTCACAGAAACTGCTCCACAGTTTGAGCCTTTACATCAGAAAGCCAGCAAACAAACTCAAACCCCAAAGATCAAGAACTTTAGAACAGTCTGATTGCATACAGCTTAGCTAAAAAGTAACAGCAGTTCTGAGTGTTCAAAATTTCCAAGTATCAGAGTGGGTTGAAATGAGCTCACACTTTCCCCTCACCTCCCGCAAATAATCAGGGAGGCCAAAGAAGTGTAACATGAATCATTAGCTATATCAGTAAGTTCCAAAAAGAACTCAAGAACAGGTCTCTCTCGAAAGCTTACAGGCGACCAGAAAAAGAAAAAGACTCAGAAAAACATCCTTTTTCTTCCTCAACTCTGAAACCGGCATAAATAAAATGCAAATGCTGTACTCCTGAGGATTTTAATAAAATCCATTTCAAGGACTGGCAATAAAATGATCTAGGCTGGGAGAAGCAGCTTTGCTTACAAGCTGGAAGTACTTTTCACTGCACAGAAAAGCCCCTTTAGGATGTTGTCTCTGTGAGGCATCAGGAGAGGGAACCCAAGCACCCCAAAGCCATCTCTATATTCTCTTCATCCTGGATTGTTTCAAAGGCTGTGGATAACTTCCATTTTACGTCAGGGCTCAGACACACACATATTACTCCAGATACAAGGTAAAATAATTTATCTTGTATTTGTTATGAACAAAACATACAGTTATGGCAGATGCGCGCTATAGCAGTCTTGGGGCAATTTGTCACCACATAGTGAGCCTCCCACCTATCTGGGTCTTTAAATGTTACCAAGGAGTGTCTCTGCAAAAGGACAGTGCCTCCCTACCCAACAGACAGGGCTAGAGGAGAAACCATCTAAGAATCATAAAATACTCAAATATTATCATATTAGGAGTCACACATGCTATTAAAAAATTAAGCCTTCTACTGTTGTTTCGGCATTTTGTCTTGCATTGAAGCAAGGGTGAGTAGCAAACTGTTTCAGCTGGTTGAATATTTTTAGGTCTACCAGATGAATTTCTATTGTGTCTGAGCCACATGCAAATAAAATAGAATCTATACAATGAAAATAAGTATTTCCTTTTCCTCTCCTGCCCAACACTTTAAAAATAGTGTTCAAAAAGAAGCTGCTTTCTGTATTTTTGTAAGGATAGCTTTAAAGCTGAAAATAATAAAATATAAAGAACATTTTATAAAAATGTGTTAAAAATTTAAGCAAGTTTACTGTAAGCTATTTCAGGTCTAAAAAAAATTCATCTCAGAATTATTCTGTCTTACACAACTGCAGTTTTCAGGGGAGTCATTTCTGAATATAAGACTAGTCAGGAAGAAAAATAGCTAAAATACATCAATTTCTTTAAGAAGTTTGACTCATTTCCACAGGACCAGAAGTTCTTCATGTCGTACAGTTAAGTTAAATAATTTAAGTAATACTGCTCTAACAATGTTTCTCCAATATACTAACTTACAACTGGTCTTGCAGTTCCACAATGATGTATTCCAGCTGTTCCTTCTCCATTTTATGGGCTAGATCCATATCTTCAATTCTTTGTAGCAGCAGTTTATTCTGTGAGACAGATTCTGATAGCTGGTTTTCTCTGAGTCGTACCAATTCTTCAAGGTAACCCTGGAAATGTGTTAAAAAGCTTTAAAGAACATACTATCAAAAAACCTTTTCATTATGTATGTTCACATTTTTCTGGTTTAATATGTATACAGTTCTACTTTGGTTTTGTTGTAAGGTGGTTTTTTAAAAATTTTTAAACATACTAGTAAATTGACTGAAGATTAGTGTGATGTTTCCTAACAGGTACTAAGAAAATCATGTACTTATATTTCTGCAGAGGAATAGAACAATGGATGAAGCAATGAGATAGGAATGCCATCAGCATGAAACACCAATTCATTTTTCAAAACCAATATAGAACAGCCACTAGGACAAGAAAAAGTTCAGAACTCTATGACTTAACAGATGCAGGATGTTAGATATTGCGTAAGAAGGACAAGAGTAGAATGTATCTATATGGACCTGCACAGCTAACAAAAGGAAACCAGAATTATTATAAAAAATTATCCAACATTACTTTAAAGTTTCTTTGAAACCTGCAGTACCACATCACACGTTAAAATGACCAAGAAGAAAGGTATTGAAATAAATATTCACCTACAGGAAGGCGTAGGATAGGACAACTGGTAAAGATGGCTTCTTTTGTTAACATTGGACACGTACAGATGGAATGTGCATGTGCATTTATGTCATTTTTCCAGCTGATACTATAAAAGATCTGGGACAGTCCTAATCACACTTCAACTATTTAACCATTTAGAAAAATCCACAATGTGAGTATTTAACAGCAGCTGCGATGGCACACTGCTCACAAAGTATGTTCACAAATCACACATCTGGTTACAATACAAGCAGCTATTTCTTTTTCTTCTCCAAGCAGAGGTTGGCATGTCAGATACTATTAACTTCCTATCAATTCTTAGTTAAAGCCGGATACATTAAGTCTATATTGCATAAGATTTTGCACATTCCTTGAAGCCTGTGCAAAAATGCGTTACTCTTTCATAGGTGCCCACATTAAGAAAAATAAAATTAAAAAGGGTAGTTTTCATAGACTCATATACACATACAGGTGTAGTCCTGTTGAGTAAGAAAACAGGTTTCACATCAGCTGGTGGTAAAATGCTACTGATATAATTCAGCACCACAAGGCTATTAAGGGTCTGGAGCATGTCTCACAGGAGAGGAGGCAGAAAGAGCTGGGATTGCTCAGTCCAGGGCTGGGGAGGAGGGAAGAGGGGGAGGAAGAGAATCATATCAATGTGTATCAATATTTAATGGGAGGACGTAAAGAGGATGGAGTCAGACTCTTCTCAGTGGCATCCAGTGAAAAGTGGCAATGGCACAAACTGAAGTACAGGAAACTATTTAAATGTAGGAAAAAACATATCTTTTTTTTCTTTAAAAAATTTTTATCTTTTCAAATGAACACTGGAACAGGGTGTCCAGACAGGCTGGGGAGTTGGCACCCTTGAAATATTCACAGCCCAACTGAACAAGGCCCTGAGCCACTTGCTCTAGTCTGCCATTTTTGGAGCAGGGAGTTGGACTAGACAATCTCCAGAGGTGCCATCTGACCACAACTACTCTGTGATTCTATGACTACATACAGTTTTATCCACTGGATATATTTATGTTTGATAGGAATTTATTTTAGTCTCAGTATGAGTTCCGAAGAATCTTGAGAGCTTTTCAAAAAGTATGCCTAGTTCTGCCCCATTAAATGTTACTGTTGTCTTGACTGTTCAGGTCCATCTCATAGCTCCAAGTAGCACTTCTGAAAGTACTAAGTAATGCATTAGGATATACACAAATTTCCTGCCTCCAAGACATTTCAAACAAACATTTTACAAAAAGATTTTAGATATGAAGCATCAGTATCCAAAACAGAATACTATGAACAATAAACACCTCTATCTATAATGACACGGAGATGCATCATCTCACCAGTGAAAGCATACAAAACTCCAGTATAAACAGTACACAAAAATTTAGGAGTTTGCTACAGAAAAGTGAAGAGTTTACACCATAGGGAAGGGATAACCTCCACAGAAGTAAGAAATGGGTAAACTATGACTCATTAATCTGGACAAGAGACAACTTGGAAAAGACAAACTCATTGTTATTTCCAGAGTGGCCTGGAAAGTGCAGGAAGGAAGCAACCGTTCATAATTTTTTAAAATACAAAAGTGAGGCATCATGAAATCAAGCTAGTAGGAGACGGATTCAGAATACAGAAAACGAGGTGGCTTTTCACACGACAGATGGAAGATACGCAGAATCTTTGCCAAAAAAAATGGTCTGGATGCTAAAAATTTACGTGGGGTCAAGGCGATATTTGACAAGTACTTGGAAGAGAGATCCATCACAGGTTACTAAACAGACAAACCTTATCAACTTCAGGAAGTCCTTCAGCTGATATGCATTGGCCAAAAAAGTATTAGAGGAAAAACAGTGCATATATATTTGTTTTGGTTTTATTCTTCCCTCATCTACTTTGGGCAAGTATCCAAGACAAGACAGCAGGATAACCAGTGATTCTTTGTCTAAACCAGCATAACATCCAATAAAGCAACGCTGAGATTTACCTTGCTAAAATAATACCTGACACTATCCTACCATTCAAACAACTCAGAAGATACAGATACCTTTATCCTAGCTGCAATCCAATCGCTTGTCACATTGTGACCCTGGTAAACATCATTCACTTGTGCTATTAATCACTGCAGAACATATACTTACTTAGGAGGCACAAAAGGAATTTACCATTGTTTGCGCAAAGTGAACAGAGCAAAAGAAGGATCTATCAGACTCACTATACCAGTTACTAAAAATACATTATTTTCAACTTGGTCTTCTTATCACAAATGTCCAGTTTTCCAATGCACAGAATGTCAGAAAGCCCCTTTGTTTGAAAGAAAACACTGTCTCTGAGTAACTGGTACCTACTGTACTGTCTGCAAGTCGATTGTTGCTGCAACTTACTGCTGTGAAAAAGATCCCAAAAAGGGAAGGGGAGAAACTCTCAGGAAAGGAGCTCTACTCCGTAGACCATCTAATCTCTTAATGGTCATTTGTTCAAGTTATAATAGAACAGCTGCAGTATAGTTGAAGTGAATTATGTAAAAATTTGGCAGGAACATCCCAAATGAAAAAAAGACAATGGAAAATTTTCTGTCTGTGGGAACAAAGAGTTATTTTGCTGTTGCAATTGTCAAGTAGGCATTCTAAAGGAGGACTATTAGGAAAGTGTCAAAGGCTGTCAGAATAGCTATCGTAGAGTAGTTATCATGTCGAAAATTGCATTAAATGCACCGAAGTTTTCAAAGAGTTATCATAAAACTGACTTGAATTCACCCCTACATTAGTTGACTATAAAAGTTGACAGTTCATGAAGAGAATGCTACAAGGAATAATGTGACTCGCTAAAATAATGATGCTCAAAAACTTTAAATGCTCAGTATCAGATCAGCAAATAACTTCCCATGGAATAGAAATGCTTCTGGATCTTAAGACTCATGAATAAACCAAAACCTCCATTTGCTGTTACAGCCACTGAGGATCTTCGTGCTTTTGCAGACACAAAGCTTCCTAGTGATTCTGGCTAGTGGATTCAGACACCACGTTTCAGTATTTTTTCTATAGCTGTCACAACTTTGATGGGGTATCCTTGGAAACGAACCACCTGCATGTACCAGGGAAAAAAACCCATCCACCTGTTTTGTTCTCTTCAATGCTTCTCCAGAGCTGATGACACTTTCCTCACTAAATCCCAAGATATTTTACAATCTTTGGAGGGAGGCAGGGGAAGAGCAGAGTTCAAACTGATCCTATGTTTTTGTCTGGACACAAGGATGAAATGCTGTCTTGAATACGTTCCAGTGCATCAAGAACTCTTGGGGTGGGGAGGGAAAGGTTTTCATTTTGTTTAAGTATTTGAAGAGATTCCTTTTGAATGGCACATTTTGGTTTACAAAAGCAGGGAAAATGTCCTCTGTACCAGAGAGAGCGCCAAGGAACACAAGTTCTTTCCATATGGAAAATGATACCACACTGGCTGAGAAGGTTGTACTAGCAACCTGGATGCCAACACTTAAGGTCATATTTCAAAAACAAGAAGTCTAAGGGACCCAAAGTAGAAAAGAAATAATTGTATGCATATTTTTAAAACACACCTCTTACATCTATCACCCCACAGTAAGTCTGACTTTTTCACTCTTAATTAGAAAAACTTTAACTAGTTTCTCTCACATGCATTAAAGTAAACTAACTTTGATTCTACCCATTCTGTATTAAGACTGACATTTAGCAATCCACAGCTACATTCACTCTAATGAACGGAACATAGCCAGGACTCCTCCTCAGGTATATTCTCTCAATCTGGCTATATCTGTACTAAAACTCAAGTTCCAAAGGATCCTGTCTGAGGTCATACTGGTTATCTGGAATAATCACTGACAAGCACTAATCACAAACCATGACCTGAAATAATCTAGGAGAGTGCTAGCTGTCCCAGGCCAAAACAATGCCAAGAATCATTCTTAGAATTTAAGTATGTGCCTGAATGAGTTGATACCAGGACCTGGGCCACATGTACTGAGTCCCCACTGGCAGAATATACATTTGAGGTCCCATCTCTGCCTTTCTTTTAAAAATCTTTTTTCTTCTCAGTATGGTAAAAAATAGAAAGGCAGAGATACTCTTGTGATTCTAATGTCCTAAACTAGGGGGAATAATTACATCTCCAAGCACCCTTACGTAGTTCCAGCTTTTCATAATGTATACTGTGTTCAGAGTTTCACCAAAACCAAATTCTGACACTAGGAAAAAATGAATACTAAAAATACTAATAAAGTTCTTCAGAAACATAAATCATTTGTCTTTCATTTTTCATCTCTTTCATTTTTCCTGACCTCTCCTTTCTTTTTCTGTGCTCTATTTCTTCTGTGTCTATAAGCAGTCTTCCTCCTTCTCTCCACCACTAGCTAATACACTTTGTTGTCTCTGTAGCTGTAATACGCTGTTATGAAAAACTGACAAGCACTTTGCTTTTAAAAGTACTAAAATACTAAAAAGTTTGGATATATATCTCATTTTGCCTTTAACTTACAATATTTTGGGTGGTAGAGGGAGAATCTCTATAATAGCATTCAATATACCATCTAATATGAAATTTTTTTTTTCCTTTCCCATTCTAGCTCGACGCAGGTCTTAAAACTATGTATTTTCTAAAAACCCATTTCAGTATCACTGAGAAGATAGTTTCGCTTTTCATTCCTAGACAGATTAGTTTGCTGATCATGTTCATTTACTGTAAGACTAAATGTTAAAGTTTAACATCACTGTTATTAAAAACCTTCAACTGGCAGTCCACTTGCATCAATAAAATTCTATGGCCTCTAAGCAAGAGGAAAATCATGTGAACAATTGTGTTAACTCCAAGCTCACAATCTAAGAGCTTCAGAGATACACTGCCTAAAACTCTGAGATTGGAAAAAGGAGCCAAAGCTTCCACGTTAGATTGTGAAATCTAATCTCTGAATTATTATTATTTTCTTTGCTTCCTCCCTAAACCTATTTTCCCTCAAATCAGTAAGCAAAGATACTTAGATACTCTGAGGATCATAAAATTAAAGACCACTTATGTGAAGCTAAATAATATTCAATATATTTTTGTGCCTTTACTTAAATGGATATGTCACCAGTTGGCTGGTGAAGAGCTTTGGCTCCATTACTGCCCCCCCAAACTAATCTTTTACCTTCTGTTCCAACGCAAGCCGGTACTTCTGTTCTACCCTTTTGCATTTGTTGTACCAACTGTTTTCATCCGTGATGAAAGGAGGACCAATGTTCTCTGGAGTACTGCCTTCACTGCCACTACTGCCCAGCGTTCTTAGCTCTTCTTCATCACTGCTGATGCTGTCAGAACTGAAGGATCATATTTATTAGCCAAGTGAAAAGCTGTGTTTGTTAAAATGCAAATTCCTCTTGAAATTAAAGCACCACAGTTCTTAAAGATATCTAAAGCTCTGTAAAGCAAGAAGAATCGAAACCTTGCAGTAGGATAGATCACCAAAGAGAACTTATATTTCCAGCTTTTACTTGTATAGCCACCGAAAGAATGAGCAAAAATTTGACTGTAATCTTAGTCAGTTGTCTTAGGCAAGTCAGACAACTGTATGTGGGATACTCTCCTGGAATACAAAGGGCCAATGCATTACAATATTCTATTTAAGGAATTGGTGACTTAGTCTTTCCTTCACAAATTCAGGGCAAAGAGTAGTACCTGAAAATAAATTTTATTTGTTTCTAAAAAAGCAGAAAAATAAAGTGATTGTCATTATGTTAATCATGATAAATTTAAATGAGAATGTATAGTTATGGTTATAGTGAAGACCATGTGCCTGTTATTCACAGAACATAAGTATCTCCCTACGTTGCATGGAGATTCATTGTTAAAATATCTCCGTATCATCCAGAATCAATGTACGCCAGAGAATTCAGACATTTGTCGCAGAACCAAGAATTTTAATCTATCCCAATATCCATTTGAAATCTTCTCTTACAACAACGCTTTCCACTACACTAACAGCATTTACTAGTTTTTTCAGTGGTGATTCCTGCGACCCCATGATCCTGTCATGATGCAAATTCTGCTTCAACTGAACTATGCAATTTGTCATTAACAGGTAAGCTAATAAGAACTTCAAGAGAATAACTAGGACGTTTCACGTTCAGTTGTACATCTTGAAGACTACTCCTCACTCCCACCTGCTTCCTTCTTTCCGCCAAACCTAACAACAGAACACATCTCATCTGTTTCCATGCTTTTTGGAGATGCCAAATTGCTACCTGATCTGTTAGCAATCATTCTTTTTATTATTAATCATACGGCTGATCAGAGGAGCAAAATATAACTGGAAGGTCAGATTATATACGCAACTGCTCATGACTTTCTATTATGTGCTAACTGCTCATACTGCTTATCTGTCATACCTTACCATTTACCAGGTCATATATTTTATTTACAAAATATCTACTTTTAGGTTTATGGCTACACAGAAAAGGCCCAAGAGAAAGGAGAACTTAGTCTGGTGATCTTCAAAGGAAACAAAAAATTTGTTTCCAAAGATTCTAATCCAAGTAAACAAAGTTAGCGTGACTCACTCTGATGAGTCATGTAATAATTCCACCAGTCTGAAAGAGCAAGGTAGCTGAGTGTACAGGTTTGTATTTAGATATGGACATTATTTTCAATGTGAAATGCAAAGTAAGAGGCCCAGTATGAAGCAAAATTTTGGCAATGAAATAAAATTTAAAAAGCAGTGTAAAGATAAAAAGTACCTTTGGGTGAACTTCAAGTACGGTGTATAATCTATGACAGCTGGAAAGCTGCCATCCAATCCCTCACCCTTCAGACAAAAACTGATAAAACAGAAACAATGATAAGATTATACCCAAAAAATCAAATCACAGTGACAGTTGAATCTTACCAACGTGAAATTTGTTTTTTCTTAATTTTTGGTAATAAGAAAAGCCTAGAGCATTTACCACTGAAATCCTACTCAGCCAAGCTACACTGTTTAATATTAGAGTCACTGAGCATATTAGAGGATAATGAAAACCCCAACAAACAGAAACTCCACATAATCAAGGAATAGATCAGAGCAAGTGGTATAAACCCTGATTTTTAAATATTTGCCTTTATTCTGAAAATACAGATGTAACGCAAGGGAACAACAGGAAAAGGAAAGTTAGCTGAAGCAAGAGAAACAGAAAAGCTACAGACAAGCTTGCAATCTTCAGTATTTAAGCTCCTTTAAAGTGTTTGCAGAGTGCTTATGTAACTATCCTACCAACTTTAAGTCAAAAATCAGTTCTCAAAAATATTTCAGTCTTTCTCCTTTCAGACACTTTCTGGTGTTGGGCTGCAGGAAGATGAGGAACATTAATGAAACTAACTGTCAGAAAATGTTCTTAAATGGCTGTAGCTTTATAAAGCTCTCATCCACACTGTATTCTTTTTGTACTGGATACAAAAGATTGTATTTGAATCATGTTTAATTATCACAGAAGTGACAACTTTAATCATGCTTCCACAAGGCTCATATTCCTCACTCCTCCTATCTCTGTCATTAAAAAAACAGATTCCAGTAAGGCACAGCTTTTGCTAACTTAATTGCAAAGTGTCATTTTTGACAATGCAGTTACTTAAGTGGTATTTGGAAAGTATATCTGAAGGGTTTTTTTCCTAAGAAAGAAAAGGCAAAGAAAACAACAACAAACACCCCTGCAAAAAATATTTAGATTCTGTTCTCACCTAGGTTCCCCCATCTCTACCCTGAAGTCTTATTTCTAGTTCCACTTAGATAAGCCAGTCAACATTTATAAGAGACTGTTTGAACTGAAAAAAAAAAAATCTCAGATATAACATGCAAAGAAGGGCTACAGCTTCTCAGCCTTTCATACCACAATAAAAATGCTCTTTTAGCACTATATTCCTATTTTGCCCAGAAAATTTCTAGGCTCTTAAAAGTTGCGTGGACAAAAAACTTAAATGTCTCCAACGGGAACCGATCATTACTCTGAATACTATTAACAGGTGCCTATAAAAATGCTTGTATTAGAAATCGGAGGACAAAGGAAGAACAAGTGCAGTAATACAATTAAGCTCACATACCGGTGGTATGTGCCACTGACGCTCATGTGAGACAAACACAGGCAACTGATGATTATTTATGTATGGATTTACATACTGCAAACCTCCTCTTGCTATGCTTCTTATTCATGTATAGCTGTAGTCCTTCCAAGTATAGTGCTAACACAGGGGCAGTTTAATTTCATATAGTGTAAAGCTTAAACTAATAAAATCTGGTAAGATTTGGATTTGCTGTACACAAAGCTAGCTCTCTTATCCTGCAGCACACTTCCGTTCCCCCAGAACATATGTTGAGGATGCAGTTAAGCCAATGTAATGACTAAATGCTGGCAAAAGAAGCTATCCTGCATTTTCAACCTCTCCTCCCCATTTCTTCTTTCTTTATTTTTTTTTTAAATTTTATTTTTTATTAATCCCACCCAGACATTCCCTTCCCCTGCCTTATAGAGGTATTGGCACTTATCTGACTCCATGATGAGCTAGTTCAGTCATCAAGACCTGAATGTTCAGGCTTTTTTCCCCTTTAGCATCCAGTTGCAGTTCCACAGGCAGCTGAACTAAATGCTCACTGCCACCAGAACGGTAAGACATTACTCGATCCTTTTTATTCCTCCTCTTCTCTAAGACTTCTGGTCCCATCATCTCTGCCACTAATAGGATGCTTCCTTGAACCAAACTAGCTAACAATAGAAGAACTATTCTGTCTTCTTACTGGGTATGGTTTTCTATCCTTTAACAAGTTAAGCTGGCTCACAGATGGGTCCAACAAGCCTCAAAACTGGTATAAGGGCACATAAGCAGGAGTAAATCTTCAAAGACCTTTTGGCAACAGTCAATCACTCAGTGCATCCAGCAAGACTATGCGCTGGTTTCTGCCAATTTATCTCCTAAACCAGTTTGTGACAAGCATTAATGTTGCTGCAGGGTAAATATTAACACTGTACTGCCAGGAGACTGGAGAAAAGCATTATCACTCTTCTTTTCCCTGTGCTGTATCATGAAAGTCTTCCCCCATGGCTCTGTATAAGACTAAGTGGGCCCAACCAGGCATATTAACAGGGCCTTGCACCAACAGGTTTGATCTTTTCATAGCCACTGTAGTCTCTATACCTTGCTGATGTGGTTTTTTAAATATATATTTATTTATAGAAATATTTTTTATATATACATATCAAGAAGTTTTTTATATTACCTAGGGTGTGCTTGCACCTTCATTACCCCAAAACACAGAATTAATTGTATCACAAAGCACACAAAAGTCTAGCTAGAGATTGCAAAGGTAAATTCATGTAATCTGATGATACCTTGCAGTTCGGCTGTGGTTAATTATAACAGAAATTAATATTAAACTGTCATTTGTAGGTTAAGCTTTTAAAATCTAGAAGCACTAAAGTTATACCTACATATGCAGTTACAATGCTATCGTTGAGTACCAGGGGATAGCTGTGTATTTAACCACACAGTTTTCCTTACAGTTTAACTTTAAAAGATTCAATTGTCCGTAAGCCTCACTTATTAGGTTTAATGTATCTTCTGCAACTAGACTTTAATTGCTTTTAGGATTTTGATACCTGAAAGAAAGACTGTATAATCATGCAGCTATATAAACTATGGCATAACTTTGTTCTTATCTAGAAGAGCCACTCAAGATCCCTCTCTCCCCATCTCCCTCCTTTCCCCCTCACCCAAGTTTCGCCTCTCAAACTACCAAGGGAATCTAACAATGCTTTCCATAATGCATCGATTTATAAGTACTTTCTCTGAGCATTTTGTTATGTAGCATGCAAATATAATACCTGAAATCAATTGCATTGAGTCCCAACAGCATACCAGCAAGCATATTTGCTTCTTCACCAAGAACAATTGCTCCATCCTCATAAAATCTCCTTCAATAAAAAAGAAATTACTTCAGTTAATACCATTTTTCTCTCAAATAATAATAATAATAATCTTTTTCATAGTTAAGAGAAAACTGAAGAAATGCAGTTTAAATAAAAACAGCTCTTGTGAACCCCAGGGGCATTCATATTTCATTTCAAATAAAGCAAACCAATAGACTGCATGGTACAAAATACCACAATCTTAGAGCACCTGAAAATTTAGACAGAAGCAAAAAGAATTTACAATATTAGTCCTAAAAATAGTAGAACGGGATGGACAAAATGCAAAGAAAATTATGAAGATAGCCTATACTTTACTGCTGAAAGGAAGAATTTGTGTCACAGACATAAAAAAATAATTATTCTGTTGTATGAAAAAAGAAGTTCTCTCTCACAATTGTACTTGCAGGCTCTTTTAAAGTTCAGCATTTGCTCTTTATTCTTAGTTGTTAATTCTTTTTTAAAAAGTATTTTCACAAATCAGCTATTTTCCAGGTAGCATACTTTTTCTTAAAATACTGCATGCTGGGAAGATGCATGCTGCATCCTGTTATTCTGAGATTTAAAATTTTCATTATTTGAAGAAGGAGTGTTTTCTTAACACTATTTTTATTGTAAAACACCTATCGGCCAAAGTTTTAAACCTCCATGCCTTTATCTCAAAATACACTTCACATACCCTGGTATATGCAGACTTGTGCAGGCTGCTTGAGGAGGTAACCAATAAAGCAAGAATCTTAAATCTGTATTCCCTCACCACTTCCCCGTTCTCTCTCATTTATTCTAATTTTCTCCTCTCAGCTACCACAGAAGCTACTTCCAGACAGAAACGTTCCACGCACAGGGCAGGCAAATAGGACCCACCATTGCCATGCACTGCCTTGTAAAAAAAGGCATTCGGTCTGTCTAGCAAAGCAGGACACAACTTTAATTTCTGTGTTAAAGGAGTCTTGGCAGCAGCAGAGGCAGAAACGTCACTAGAATTCACCTGAGCGTTACATGTGGAAAGAGGGAAACCAAGAGCTGTTCAGTACCAAAGGCAAGGTTGAAAGGTCACTTACCACAAACCAAGATGCACAGTCAACCTATACATTGTAGCAATGTACGATTGCAAGAAGGTGCCAAGTTATTGAACGTAACCTATCTTTCAGACAAGTACCACCAAAAGCTCCATCTCTTTTAAGAGCTGCATGAAAGCACTGGGGTGGCTCCGTGCAGCTCAAGTTGGCTGCATGGCAAACATCCAGAAAAGACACATTTTGGGGCACAGCTCCAACGATTGAACTGTGTTACAACCTGCACTGTCAGAAGTCCCACTTTTGCAGTTCCATTAACAGACATCCATTTGCTGTAAGGAAACAAGTGGTCCAAGTCCTTGGATGTTCTCTGCAGAAGCAAGAAATACAGAAGACTTCCTCTGGGAAGACAGAGATTATACTCCTGACATCGAGACTGTCTGATGTATGTCTGTGATGTACAGACTCAGCTCTCTATTCTCTGACTTCAGGAAGGGCACCAGGAGGCTAAACTGGCCACTGGCTGAGACAGAATACTGAGCTAGATGGACTTCACAGTCTGCTTCAGCACAGTTATCCTTATTTGTGAACTAACAGCAATGCTTCCAGTACAAGCTGATTACAAACCATTACCCTGGCATTTGTAAAATCACTGCCAGGTACCAATCTGTACTGCGTTCAGTTTATCTTGTAAAATGGTGCCTAGGAAGTAATCACACAAAAAAGACAGGGCATACTTCTAATACTGAGACGCAGATGTTAGCCCGACCGTTTCCTAAACCAGTAGGAAATTACTACAGTAATCCAGCCGAAACAACAGCCCCCTTGGAAAACTCACAAATCTTCTTTCAGCGCTATGCAGTTGACAGCTCACAACAGAACAGCCTACTTTAACTGAAGAGTCTGCACTGAGCGATTTATAAGAAAAATAATTGTGTGCCCATGCTTAACCCAACCCCCTTCCAAGTGTAACATGCAGATCCAGCACTAATAGTGTGCTGCTTCACTAAAGGACTAGCCCTAAGGTCAGGCACCTAAACACAACAGTGACGTTTAAAGAGAGCTAGCAGTATGATAGACGAACCTCATATTCTAAATACACATATGTAACATACGATACTTATAGTTTATATAAATAATTATTAAACATATATATAGCACAATACATAATTTAAAATGCTAAATAAATGGTGTAAAGCATCACCAAAAAAATCAGGCCACTTATTCGGTATCTGAAACCCTACACAGGAAAAGAGCATGTCCATTATTGCCAGTGGATTTGAAATCCACACTACCGAGATCTGAAACTGTAACTTTTATTTCCATTAGATGCATTTAAAAATATTACTTCAAAACAAACTTTGCACTTACTATATTTGGAATGCAAGAGAGGTTGTTTCCCAAAGTTATACCACTGAAAGAACATTCAAATATATTCAATGTTAACATGTTCAAATAAATGAATTTGAAACTGCTAATAAAATAATACTACTGTAATCCTCTAGCAAACAAACCACACTACCAAACAGGGACAAAGAATGTACTACTTAACTACACAGATTGTGACCCTCCTCTTCCTCCTCATCTCCCCCTCAAAAACCCAAGTGACTTTTCAGTTTGAGGCAACGTGAGTAAATCTTTTCCAGAAATCTTTGGTTAATGAGCTTCTTGTCTACTGTAAATGCAAGCATATCTGGGTAAAATAACGATGACAGGTCTGGAAACTTCAATAAAATGTTTAAATAGTTGTGTTTCAAAGTCACCTTAATATTGGCAAAATATATGGAGATCTGCGGACAAATAGTATTACAAACAGAAATAATATTCTAAATGAATAGAAGTCTTACAGAGAAAATTCTTATTGTTTAAATAGTCCATTCAGTGTGTCTAAAACTTTTAGAGTTCAACATAAGGTACCTCAACATGTAACAGACTCACTCATATTTAGATGACTTTATCATAAATCTACAAGACACGCTTGTTACAGGACAAAGCATCACGTAATAAACACATTATCTCGAACCAGTCCAAAACTGCCAGAGTATTTTCTACCACAAAGCATATTCTTGTCCCTAACAGCTTTTACCATTAGAAGGTACAACAAAAATCTGTTACACATTTTTCATGTTACACCAAGAATCCTAGCTATGCCTGATCACTAACTCTGTTCTTCTGTCCATCAAAATGTTCCTGCAATTCTCTTCCTTTCTTCTTCAAGAAAAGTTCCTATAAAAATTGTTTTTTACTGAGTCTCTGGGGCTTTCTGTCAACCATACCTAATTTTGAAAGGAACACTACATCTTCTATCCTTATCACGCTACCATTTCAGAATTAGTTCCTTCTTTAGAGACGTTTTCTTCTCTTTTGACGTTTCAAGAATTTCAGACTTACTTCCACATCTTTAAAATCACAAAGGCATTTTTAATTTTGCAGTTTTACCCATGCTAAAATCCAATCAATTGATACCAACTCCAGATATCTTTACTAGGTTACAGCTCTTTTATTAGTGACATTCTTTCCTATACAAATCAAGTGGAACATTCACTTCCAAACCTAAGTCCCTCACTTAACGCAAGATTTGCTAAAATATTGCAAGAATAAAAGTCTTGGAGACCTGGTTGTTTTGAAGTCTCTCAGAGCTGTGGAAATGTATTCAGACAAATGCTTTTCCATAAGTGCTACTCTGATCCAGGCTCGACCCTGCAAGAAGAAACAGATATCAAATTTTTAAGTATTATAGAATGAAATACTTAATTTTACGTCTGAAAACGAACAGTTGATTTACCTGGGTCAAATGAACTGATTAACAAAACTACCGCTGAACAGAAATTGTTGCTAAATGCACTTCATTATAGTAATAATGAAAATAGAAAATATATTCTTACAAATAAACTGTATTGTGAAATAGAGTTCTCCAAAATTGGAAGGGAAAAAAAAAAAAAAAGGATTTTGCTTTAATTATCTATTCCAGCCTTTTAAAAATCTCATGTGCATAAGTGGTAGCAGATCATAGCAGAAAGCTTTTCATTTTAAATACAATGGAATTGGAAGCAGCCCACTGACTCCACCATAAAGCAGCAGCAACCTACCCTCAAGGTGATTTAAGTATGCGCTAATTCTGTATTCATTCAAATATTTATGGGATCAATAAAAAAATTATAACTCAGTGACATTTTTATTATATAATTTCCATAAATTATTTTTCCCCACATTAAGGACACCATTAGAGAAGGTGCACATAATATACAGGAATGAAAGCAAACCGAAGAGGCCTGAAGCTTGCAGTCCAAAAGAAAAACTTCATTCAAACATTTCTATCACAGCAATAGATTCAAAAATAACCTTTGGGAATGTATGTTGCACTGTGTTTACAGATCTGGTGCACAGGATTGTAGGTTACAAGAAAGAGACATTTCAAATGGCTGCCATAGTTACGAGTGTCAGTTTGAGAACACCAGGAACATTTCCTGTAACCCGTATAAACGTGCAAATAGTATATAAGCAGAAAAACGTTTTAGTACTTGTATAACATTTGGTGGTTATTGACATCTAGCTGCATATCACTACAGGCATTCTACTCAAACGATCTGTAGTAGATTATAATCCTACATCTAATTTATATAGACCCATATCATAGTAAACATATAATAAGATAGGCAGATGCTAAATAACAACAAATATTCGCTTCCATAAATACCAACAACACAGCAAAATCTTTAACACAGAGTGCACTAAAATTCAGAGGCTGTTTCTCTGGATAGCTGCCTTCATGCTGCAGCTATTTAGAACACAAGTGAAACAGCCAAACCCTGATGCTGCAGCTTAGCTAGTGACTAAAGCCAATGCAGCACAGGTGAACACAGGGCTAACTACCACTGGCAAGCCCTTACTAACAGCTTCCAGGCTGAAGCAGACACCCATTTGGACCACCAGTAACACTGATGCATACCATTAGTGTTTGTGTCGACATGCCTCCAACCCTGTCAGATGCAGATGTCCAAAATACTCCCACACTCACCTTTAAAAATTCAACACTGCTCTCCATACTCACTGCACAAATTAGCTTCTCTGTTTACTATTTGGCATGGAGTTTTCCACAGAGTAAAACAAAATTTTAATTTATTTATAAGAGTGTTTCAGAAAATAGCTTTGCATCTTATTATCTACTAAATTCAAATATTCATATCTGTTAAAATCTTGGAATTCAGAAATACCTTTAAAATAAATCTCAAATATAAGCAATACAATCACCAGATTCTGGAACATGAGTCTCTCCAGAAAGTATCTGGGAAGAAGTTCTCCAAATTAGCCAAATTTCCAGATCTCAACAGAAGCAAGAAGAAAGGTTGCATGATTTAAATTACCAGCATACTACTCCAGCACACAGAGTGCTGGGAAGAGCACATAATGTTCTGGATAGGAAAACCAGTCAATAGCTTTTTGCCAAAGAATCTCAGTGTTTCAAAGCTTTCACACAAATTACAGATACCTTTACTATACAAAATTTAAAACCAAGTCTATACAAAAGCAGAAAGAAGCAACAGTAGACACAGCAAATAAGCTGTTCTGCAACACCACAGGTCATCAGAACGGCTGCTCAAAGATCTGCCAGATCCATGGTGCTGCTTGATCTAAGCATCACCTTTTATTGAAGAAAACTGTGGTTGTGTAAATACCTGTAATTTAAATTGTACTAACCAGAGTCATGCTCCTGAAAAAAAACCTGCAACGTTTTTGTATATAACAAGCTAAATATTTCCACCTCACCAATGAGACCAACTGTGAATAATTTGGAGTATCATACCAATCTGGAACTAAGGAATTTTTAAAATAGCCCTGGAACACAGTTTGGATACTTGTTCAAACAACTGATTCCAGTTCATTTAGGAATAAAAAGAATTAAGAGCATTAATTTGTGCATACTTTTACGCTACTTATACTTTCAAGTCAGAAGGTTCTTAGTTATCAACCAAGGCTGCTTTACACAGAAATACAAGCTATTCAAACCCATTCCAATCTAGTAAAAAGAACTTCCTATCTCTGTCCAACAATGTCTTTGATTAAGATGTTGGTCCATACTGACTCACACTATTAAGATCTAATGATAAGTCAGTTTAAAGGTTATTCTTCATTCGTTCATGAGCATATAAACACGTTAAATTGTTACTTCCTTAATGTTTCCATCGTACCTACAATCAGAAACTGTGATGTTATTTCTATATACATCCTTTAAAATTATGGCTCTTTATTAGCAAATAAATCTGTTAAAGGCTTCCTGCACAATCACACCAACAAACTCAAGAGGTGATCACACATTTTCTCTTAGTGCATAAATTACATAAAAAATTAAAATGATACTTAAGTTATGGGGGGAGAAAAAAAATCATATATCTACAATTTTAAAACAGTATGTGTTAAGCCTGCCTGCATGGATTCAATATCTCTCAACATACTGCGTTTTCCAAAAATTACGTAAATTCAAAAATGTGAAGGCAATCATTTTATAATACAACATGCACAATGAATAGAGAATTTGAGGTTTATTCTGCTGAATAACATAAATTTTAAAGGAAACAATCAGATTTAGAAGTCAATATTTACTAGGTACATACAAAAAATAATTATTTCAAGCAGTGAAAAATTTTATGAGGCAAGCTTAGTAATATGTTTTTCTTCTGGGTACAGAAACATCAGCTATACTTTACGCAGAACAATGTACTAAAAATGTCGATTTGATCTTTCTCTTCCCTACCTTAGCTCTAGAAGAACCGACATTCTCCATGTTCTCAATACTGCAGATGCAATTGTGAGAGACTTTTCGGCAAGCTACTCGAATGTAGTCCCAGAAACTGCGAGGACTTTCATAGCCAAACCAGGTAATCTGACCTTAAATTGAAATACAAGATATGTAAAGATATATGAACTTCCTTCTCTGCTTACTGGAGATAAACATACTTAAAATACTTCCCTATAGGTTGTCTGCACTGACAGGATTTTATACTATCAAGTCCATAAATACCTACTGAAAACCAGTTCACAGGTATTAAAAAACCCCTTGCATTATGCTGCTCACCCTGGTTTGAAATTGACGCACAAAGAGAATACATGTATTTTCATAGCTTTTTCCTTGTTAGTATGCTATATATACTAGAGTTCTTCACAGGTCTCTTAAATCACAAGAGAGCACATACTGTTGTGACTTAAAAATATGATGCAAGAAGTATTTCTGTTACTTGCTTTAGGTAGTACCGCGTGCTTCACTAAAACAGTAAAGTAAAAAGAGGTTTGTTCTTTTAAAAAAAGAAATTATATAAATAAGTAA